ATACAGGGTTGAGCTTATTCTCTTAATGAGTTATAGGTGTGTTTTGAGAATAAACCAATCAGAGTCTCATCTCCCATTCCCTTTGAGAGTCAGTTGCATTGCGCCATATTGCATTTGCTATTTACATGGCGGACTTTATAAGTGGAAAAACTAAATGCTTCACTAAAGAGAAAACAGTAAACAGCATTCTGGATGAGCTGCAACTCTCTGACTGTCTTTTTGGGAAGCCCAGTGAGGAGGCCATTAAAGTAATCCACCCTGCTGATGACAAAAGCATGAACAAGTTTCTCTAAGTCTTCACTGGAAACAAAGCATCTGATTCTTGCAATGATTTTGAGATGATAATATGCTGATTTACTAACTGCTTTGGTATGACTATTGAAACTCAGATCTGACTCTAGAGTCATACCAAGATTCTTGACCTTATTTTTTGTTGTTTGACCTTTAGTGCTAAAGTGCGCATTCACCTTGAGAACCTCATCCTTGTTCCCAAACGCAATGACTTCAGTTTTCTCTTTGTCTAACTGAAGAAAGTTTTAAAACTGTTCATTTCATCAATGCATTGCCAAAGGGTGTCAACAGGGCTGTGGTCCTTAGGCAGTTTGGGTAGTAGATCTGAGTGTCATCAGCATAGCTGTGGTAGAAAAATTGGTTCTTTCACATTATTTGGCTCAGAGGGAGCATATAAAGGTTGAACAGGAGAGGTGCCAGAATCGAGCCTTGTGGGACTCCACGTGTCATGGGTGTCCACCTTGACCTATGGTCATCTATACTGAGTAGTAACCTCTCCTTTCAAGGTAAGATCTGAACCATTTGACGACCGTCCTAGACAGCCCAACCCAGTTTTCCAGCCTACCCAGAAGTATGCTGTGATCGACAGTGTCAAATGCGGTACTGAGATCTAGCAATACCAGCACTGTTAGTTTGCCTGAATCTGCATTCAGGCGGATATCATTGATTAAAAGTGTCTATACAATTTAAGCACTTTTTATGTTCTTTGGACATTTATTTACATAACAACTGTGTTTAGTGAGGTCAAAACACAAACATTTGAAAAGTGGTTTCAGAGAGGATTTTTTTTTTTTTTTTAAATACGATTTTGCTAAAAATGTGCTGTCAAGGACATGTGCATTACATGTTCAGTCTATAGCTAAGAGCGAGTACTTGATGAGCGAGTACTTTATGACAAAAGCAATAATGGTGCATAGATTCATTTGTTTATTTTCTTTTTGGCTTAGTCCCTTTATTAATCAGGGGTCGCCACAGTGGAATGAACCGCCAACTTATCCAACATATGATTTACGCAGCGGATGCCATTCCAGCTGCAACCCATCACTGGGAAACATCCATACACAATAATTCACACGCATACACTACGGACAATTTAGCTTACCCAATTCACCTATACCACATGCTTTTGGACTAGTGGGGGTAACCGGAGCACCCGGAGAAAACCCACGCCAACAAGGGAAGAACATGCAAACTCCACACCAAACTCCACAGAAATGCCAACTAACTCAGCCGAGGATCGAACCAGCGTCCTTCTTGTGAGGCGAATGTGCTACCCACTGTGCCACCCTGCTGCTTATTTGCAGATGCATTTCACAAAGTGGCATTACAAACTATTGGCATGAATATTACATCTTGTATAGAAAACTTAACAAATATATATATGTTTTTCATGCAACTTTTCAAACATGTACTCATATTTACAAAGGTGAAATAAAGCTCTATGTACATATAATCACTAATTCTAAATCTGTTTACTATTAACTAACCACTGCTCCTGACTTTGGCGTAGGTGCATGCAATCCCACTGAAGTCCTCATGGGTGATGACATGTTCATACGCACCTTCAGGGAACATGGTGGCCTGTGGAGGACTTGACAACATGTGCTCCATTTACAACCTGAAGGCCAAAGATGGAAACGTGAAGGTCATGCGTGAGCTCGCAGCACATACAGGTAAGAAGAACAATTCAAAATATTTATTATTCACACCACTATGAGAACCAGTTTGCAGCGATGGACGAGGTACACAAATCAAACATTACAGGAGAGATACCCTGATAAATTATTATTTAGTGAAAGTATTAAGCTCTGCTTCTCAAAGGTTTCATGATAATAAATTAACTGATATTAAAATTTTAAATTAAAAAGACAGAATAATTCCTATTTTTCAAGAAAATATTGAATTATTTGATCTAAATGTCTATCAAAATACACTAGTTTAATATCTGTTATACGTGGCAGCACTTATCCAACTCCATTGATGTGTTATTTTAACATTTTGTTTAGTTTTTCAACTAATTTACTTAACAAAAAAAAGACAATTGTGGCATAAATATGATTTTTATTTACAAAAATAAAGATTAACCTAAAATTTTACATTAGTAACTTAAATTTCATTCCGTCGTGGACACACAGGATTTTACCAAGAGACTTGCTCTGACCACATCCTTTAATCAATGAATCTTTAACTGGAGACATTTTCTGACTGAATTATTTGAAGTAAATCTTTGACTGTAGATGTTTACTGACTTAATCCTTCAAATGAGTAAATCTTTAACTGGACATGTTAACTGATTTAATCATTTGAGTAAGGGAATCATTAACTGGAGACATTTTCTGACTTGACCATTTGAATCAGTGAATCATTAACTGGACATATTCAGTGACTTGATCGTTTGAATCAGTGAATCTTTAACTCTATGTTTTTTGACTGGATCATTTAAATCATTTGGATCTTTACTGGACATGTTTACTCACTTGAACATCTGAATCAGTAAACCATTAAACAAAAATGTTTTCTGACTCAATCATTTGAATCAGTAAATTTTTAACTGGACATGTTTACTGACTTGATCATTTGAATCAATGAATCTATAACTGCATACATTTTCTGACTGGATCATTTAAATCACAGAATCTTTAATTGTAGATGCTCAATGACTAGACCATTTGAATGAGTGAATCATTGACTGGAGATGTTTTCTGAATGGATCATTTGAATCAGTGAATTTCTGACTGGAGATGTTTTCTGACTGGATTATTTGAATCACTGAATCTTTAACTGTAGTTGTCTTCTGAATGGATCATGTGAATCAGTGAATTTCTGACTGGAGATGTTTTCTGACTGGATCATTTGAATCACTGAATCTTTAACTGTAGTTGTTTTCTGAATGGATCATGTGAATCAGTCAATTTCTGACTGGAGATGTTTTCTGACTGGATCATTTGAATCACTGAATCTTTAACTGTAGTTGTTTTCTGAATGGATCATGTGAATCAGTGAATTTCTGACTGGAGATGTTTTCTGACTGGATCATTTGAATCACTGAATCTTTAACTGTAGTTGTTTTCTGAATGGATCATGTGAATCAGTGAATTTCTGACTGGAGATGTTTTCTGACTGGATCATTTGAATCACTGAATCTTTAACTGTAGTTGTTTTCTGAATGGATCATGTGAATCAGTGAATTTCTGACTGGAGATGTTTTCTTACTGGATCATTTGAATCACTGAATCTTTAACTGTAGTTGTTTTCTGAATGGATCATGTGAATCAGTGAATTTCTGACTGGAGATGTTTTCTGACTGGATCATTTGAATCACTGAATCTTTAACTGTAGTTGTTTTCTGAATGGATCATGTGAATCAGTGAATTTCTGACTGGAGATGTTTTCTTACTGGATCATTTGAATCACTGAATCTTTAACTGGAGAAACACTCTGAATGGACTCTTTGAATCAGAGAATCAAATGAACTAAAATAAGGAGGGACAACCTGTTTTTCTGAAGTATAGTTGAGTAAAAATATATATTATGATGCTTACGAATTAAGTAAAACCCAGTTATGAACTTAAGTTTCGTAATGATGTATAAAAATTCTTTATTGCTTTCTACTACTTCCAGTTTGGAATACACAAGAACAATATCTAGCACATGAAATACTTTAAAATAATTTATCCCTGTATTTTTTAAAAGTTTATGATGTGAATCTGAGTCTTGGGTTTTGTTTGATCAGGTTACCTGTCCTGCTGCCGTTTTCTGAGTGACAGTGAGATCATCACCAGCTCTGGAGACTGTACCTGGTACATTCACTAAAACACAATCTGACTGTAAAGAAGAGACAGAATGCTGTTTTCTTACCATGACATCTGTCCTTTTTCCCAGTGTTCTGTGGGACATCGAGACAGGATCACAGAAGACGGTGTTTGCAGGTCATCTGGGAGACTGTATGTCCCTCGCCGTGTCTCCAGACTTTAACACCTTCATCTCAGGGGCTTGTGACTTCACTGCCAAACTGTGGGACATCCGTGAAGGCCAGTGCAGACAGACCTTCGGTGGACACGAGAGTGACATCAACGCCATTGGGGTAAAACTGACCAGCAAACCCATAAGAAACGCACACCTACAGAAATACTGAAGCAAATACCCTAAAAGAAGAAATAAACTATTTTTGCTTTAATTAGCACTGCGCAATATATAGAAGCTGTCAAAATATTGAGAATGAGGATATCACAATAAGTATCTTTACTAATTCAATGACTATCTTTCGCCAATGACTATCGCTATATAAATGACAATCGCCATGCTTAAAAAAACAGCAAAAAAACTAAGAAATAGATTGTTTCAAGTGTTTTTGTTTACATGATTTTAACTAGATGTTTTCCGGTTGACAAAACTGCACTAGTGAGCAAAGTGGTGGTGGTGGTAATATTTACATAAGCAATTTTTGTTTCTTTACACTTTAAAAATGTCTAATTTGTTTTACGCTACAGCAAATCATGGTTGTTTTTATTTCAGAAGTTGTAGCGATGGTTCTTTTTTCCTAAAATAACATGAACGATGTTAGTTATTATAACTTTTTTTTTTTAAATTGTACAACATTTTAAATATTCCATTTTTCTGTGATTTCCCACAGCCCTAGTTTTGATATGTAAAAACTTGTAGCTTTAATTCCACATGACCCACAAGTTGTTTCAGTTTGAAGAACACAAACCTTTTCTTTTTGCACACCTCATAGACCCTTTCGACGTCACTTCACTTTTCCTCTATCGGCAACACTGTATTTTTAGTTCCGGTTTACCTTTGAATGAATGAGAGACTTCTCTGGAAAATTTACAAGTGAAAATATTAACATTGCACCTAGTGATTTAAGACTTTTTCAAGTATTGGGCATGTGCCCAAATGTTTCGCTTTCAATACTGAGCTGCTTTGTGAGTTTGAAAATGATACTTTTAGTTATTAAGAATAGGAATAAGCTATTGTTTCTCAAGAAATGTATATGTTTGCAACCTTTTTACTTATCAATTTAGTTAATTTAATTAAGTTTTATATTATTTAATCAATAATAAATTTATTTTGCTTTGACGCTGCTATGAATATAAATTTTAATTATTTGTTATATGTAAATGTTCCAGCACAAGTAAAATCTTTATTAAATCTTCCATAGGCTTACACCTGGTAAGTATGCCATCTGGTTTGCAATCGGTTTCATCATTTGTATTTACTGATCTATTAATGTTTTGTTCCGTTTCTCCATTTGAATGAATTAAAAGTGTCTTACCCCAACCTACTGGATGGGATTAATGTGATAGTAGTACTAGCTTTTAATTAATAATGTTACAAATAATTTTATAATCTATTAATAATGAATTAAAATGCAGTCCTCTAGGTGTTTTTTTTTTTTGCAAATATAAATTTTTTATATGATTTTGTTTGATTATGAGTCACATACAACACTTTTGTTCTATTTCATTTAATTTAGATATTAAATGGACATAGATATGTTTTGTTCATGAATAAAATACCTACTCCATACCTTACTACCATGGTAGTCTATACCAACTTCATCTGCCATAAAGACAGCAACACAAAGCACTACACTCCATTTAAAGTCCCATTTTCTCAGTTGAAATGGAAATCTGGCTTAGATGTCAGACATCTCACCCAGAATGCAGACAACAGAAAACAGTAGTAGTCACAGTCACACTGTATTTGTAGTAAATATACAGCGTACTGGACCGATGTGTTCTCTATGGGGAGTTCTGTGTAGATCGGAAGTAACGATACACCGCGTGGAGTGAAGCCGCACACTGCATGACATCATGTGAAAAGGGTTTGTGGCTAACTAATGGTAAGAGGGACGTGGTTAAGAATATTGTGGTTGAAGCCGTTAAACTGACAGCGCTAGACCACCACTCCAAACTCAGAAGAAAATGGCCAGATTTTGATTGAAGATTATTAAAATCAAGCTTCTTTCCAGTGGATTATCTTGGATAGATTAATTGTTCAACTGAACAATACATTGTGCAATTGTAAAATAAAATATTTACATTTTGATTTCACACTGACTTTCATTGGAATAGTAAGAAACAGTGACTTTTATGGTCATTAGCATCAGTTTTGAATACAAACAAAAAAAAATAAGGTAATGACTTAATAGTGTAATTGGTTGTTAAATAAACTTTAAGGTTTTCGAGGTTAAAAATGACTACCATAGAAATCGGATGGAAAATAAGCCAAAATATGAATATAAGAATTTGTTGTGTGCCATCTACAAACAATCTTTAAAAAATCCTCTGTGACTGCAAAAACAAATTTGAGAAATCTGTGAAATGAATCAATATTGTATCCAAAATGCAAGAGAAAGCAAACAGCAATTAAGGGCTGTGACAGTAAATTATGAATAGTTCAAAACCAGGGCCAATCCGCATGTTGCGTCTTATACATGTTTATTTTCAGCATGCCAGTAAATATATTTTTTTCTCTCTCTGTGTTGCCTTTCAGTTTTTCCCCAACGGCAATGCAGTGATCACAGGTTCAGACGATGCTTCCTGCAAGTTGTACGACCTGCGCTCAGACCAGGAGCTCATCACATACCAGGACTCCAGCATCATGTGCGGCGTGACATCCATCGCTCCGTCCCTCTCCGGAAGACTCATCCTCGCCGGATACGATGACTTCAACTGCAACATCTGGGATTCACTTAAGTCAGAGAGAGTCGGTAAGAAACCTCACAGAGACTATTAAAATTAAGACTGTTCTAGATCAGTGGTCTCAAATTCCTGGAGGGCCACAGCTCTGCATAGTTTTGCTCCAACCACAATCCAACTCACACCTAGTAGTCTTGAACACCTTCATTAGTTGGATCAGTTGTGTTTGATTAGGGTTGGAGCAAAACTGTGCAGAGCTGCGGCCCTCCAAGAATCCAGTTTGAGATGTTCTAGATGCAAAAAAAGTGTTTCTTTTTAGTATCATGTTGAGGAAATTCATTAATAATCTAATTGAGAAATTCAATTTTAATAATACATGCAATAATAATATAAATAGTTAGTGCTTGCTAAAATCTTCACTTCCTTTTTTATATAAATAAAAAAAATCATAATAGTGTCATTTGTCAACTCTGTTACTCTTCATTGGTAATAGGATTCATTATTTTACACTTTTTAGCTAAAAACATTTATGGCACTAGTTAAACCATGGTAAAAATATGTTGACCCATTGTGGGATTCATGATAAATTCTGTGCTCTTTTAATGCATGTTTAAAAACTCACTCTTGATGCAAGAACTTTTTGCATGAAATCAGCAAGACGCAAATACATTTCAGTGCTTCAAAAATATGCCTGCCCGATTAATCGATTTTAAATGGAATGCACCGCATCCACACACACAAGTGTTACTCTGCAGCACAAGTTTTCCCCTCTATGATGGATCAGCTATGATATCCGCACATTATAGACTGCAACCGCGGTCGTCTATCCGTATCTGTGTCACTCATCGGTGAATAATGCCAAAGCCGCGCTAACCGTTAGAGCCAATCACAGCCCTTTCTGTTGAGTGCAGGAAACCAATTGCTGTCCCAATTTGCATACTATCTGTCATAAATAGTTTTTGAAAATAGAATTAGTATGTCCCAATCATAGTATGTTGAAAAGAGTATGCCAAAGGTACCCGGATGGTTTACTATTTCCGGTAAAAAATGTAAGTGTAGAAGCGTCCATACTCTAACCGCTAAAATTGCCCACAATACATTGCACGTTGGACGTGAATGCGTTTAGAACTCTGGAAAATATGCGTTTAGCCCACTGGAAAATATTTAAATCGCTATATAACTTATATAGCGACGTGTTTGGAAATTAACTTCTGAATCTGAATAATTATCCAAAAACCTGAAAAGATTTCTCTGCATAAAACACTTGTGAATGGGAGATTAACCTGCTGCTGCTTCTTCATTAAGGTAGGAAATTAAACAAGACAGAAATGTGGATGATGTGTGGATGATTGACAGAGCTCGTAACTAAGCAACATAGTGATCTGTTAATGAGAAATAGCATTTCCCAAATCTAGTATACTCTTCTGTAACTCACTCAAAAGTATATAGCTGCGTCCAAAACCGCATACTTTCATACTATGTAGTACGCTAAAATCAGTATGCAAACTGAGTAGTATATTCAAATTCTCACAATTCAAAAATCAAGTTGCGTCCCAAATCGCATAGTTAAGCACTATTCTACACCATTTTGTAGTATTATAGTGTAAGTAGTGCGTTCACAGTGAAAACTCTAAAAAAATAAGTGCACTTTAAGTTCCCGGATGATAATAATAATAATAATAATTCCTTACATTTATATAGCGCTTTACACAATGGGGGGGATTGCAGCATCCACCTGGATGACGCGACGGTAGCCATTTTGCGCCAGACCACACACCACGCACCAGCTGATTGGTGGAGAGGAGACAGAGTGATGAAGCCAATTGAATATGGGGATGGTTAGGAGGCCATGATGGACAGAGGCCAGTGGGCAGATTTGGCCAGGATGCCGGGGTTAAACCCCTACTCTTTTCAAAGGACATCCTGGGATTTGTAAAGACCACAGAGAGTCAGGACCTCGGTTTAAGGTCTCATCCGAAAGACGGCTGAGCAGTATAGCGTCCCCTTTACTATACTGGGGCATTAGGACCCACACAGACCGCAGGTTGGGCGCCCCCTGCTGGCCTCACTAACACCACTTCCGGCAGCAACTCCCATCCAGCTACTGACCGGGCGCAGCCCTGCTTAGCTTCAGTGGGCGACCATGTGAGAGTTGAAGAGAGCTAGCTGCCGGCTATGAATGATGCACTTATTCAGCCGGTAAAATGCAGTGTGTAATGTTGGACACTTCACACACTCAACGACCACAGTTCTGCTCACGCAGCGGAAGAGGCGGAGCTATGGGGTGCACATGTTGGATTACTTTATTTTTTTTGGATGGATGGTGAAAGCGAAATTCTCCTACGAGAGTGATTATTGCGCCTCCCGATGGAAAATTCGACAATACTCATCACAAGTATTATTTGGTACTTTGGTCATTTATTTCACTGATTTGGCAACCGTCAAACGTCATCTGGGACACGGGTTGAATTTCCGCTTAGTAAAAAAACATTAGTGTGCCATTTGGGATGACACTACATACATATACTATGCTACAAAGTGTGTAGGTGCATAAGTACATAGTGCATGAGTGCATGGTCTGCCATTTGGTATGCAGCTTCAGTATCTGTGAAGTACCCAGATGACTTACTACTTCTGGCAAAATTCTGAAGTGCGCATCCCACGCACGCTGTGCTATACCATGATGTCCCGGTAGAATTAATAAATGGGAGTGAAGCGACGCAACTGCTGCGGGTAGGTCACGTGACCATGACAAAATGGCAGATGTAGAATATCCAAATTCCATTCATACTGCTCACATTTATACTGTATGGAACATCCTTTTTTAGCGGCCGATTAGTATGTTTAAATTCGAATGCAGTACCTACTGGGTAGTAGGCGGTTTTGGACGCAGCCTATATTTTTCCCTTACAAAAAAAGTTAATACTTTTAGGTCTTTGTAGAAGTATGCGAATTGGGATGCAGCAAATGACCTATCATAGGTGTTTAAAAACATACTTGACAACGCTCAAAAGGCAAGCGGGATAATATTTACATTTATTTAATTGCTAAAAACACACGTTTTGTTGTGCATGTACTAGAGTTTTGTTTGATACGTTCAAAAAGAGTGTTTTTTATGAGCCGTTAAAATTAAAGGTACAGTTTATTTATCTGACTGCTTACAAATAGTATATAACTATAAATGTATTTATTAATTATACATTTAAATATAAGAATTGTTGTGCTGTGTCAGTGCACCGTGAAAAATCAATCAATAATGATAAAATTAATATGAAAAACACAATCTAAATGTAAAGGTTTTAAAGGTTATTTAGATCTTTATTTGAGATTTTGTACATATTTAATTTAATTGAATTTAAAATAATGGAGTAATTTTCTTAATTTGTTATGACAACTTTATTGGAAAAAATGGTTTTAAATAAACAAAAGCATAGCGTAGTGTACTTTGTGATTATGCTTGCTCTTTCTTTGGTGCTGTTAAAACCACCACATTAAACCTGCAGCTCTTTTATGAAAGTATAGTAAATCACATTTTAAATCAGATTTTTATCAGATAATTTTTATCAGATAAATCGGAATTCGATTTGTTTCTCCAAATCGTGCAGTCCTACTTCAAACCACAGTGTCTGTATCATACATAGTAAATCCATCAGTTTAAAATCACAGTAAGATACAGTAACAGTTGACAAGATTTATGGTAAAACATTTTGATAACCACAATTAATGTAAAGAAAAGTACTTGTTTGATTAAGAAATACATCTATTTAGGGGCTTTTAGATTTAAATTAAATCAAATTTTTCAAAAGGAAAGTAAAATACGACATTTTGATTACACAGTAATAATTCAAACAAGGAATGAACAAGAAATAAATGTATTTTCAGCTATATAAAATGCCTTTTGCAGAAACTGTTATATTGTTATGGCCTTTAAGACATTATGATCAATGACAAAAAATACAACCATTTGATAAAAAGCTGAAAAATCCACAATTTCAGACACTGAATGTACCTGCAGTTATTGAATCAGTCCTGTGTGTTGTTTGTGTTTTTTAGGAGTGCTGTCTGGTCATGACAACAGAGTGAGCTGCATCGGTGTGACTCCTGACGGGATGGCCTGCTGCACAGGATCATGGGACAGCTTCCTGAAGATCTGGAACTAACGCTCTGTCTCGAAGATGGGCAAAAATCACAACATGTCAAAGACAGGGTAAAAATGTAAAGGGGACAACTGAAACAGGACTATGAGAAATAGTGGTAAAAGCAGGGAGGGAAAGCGATATGGTTGCTGTGGCGTCACAACGAGAACGATTATGAATAAGAAAACCTCATTTAGAGACGGGCTGATCTGTAGAATAATCTTGTCAAAGAAATCACGCAATAACAGAAATCTTGTCTTTCAGGGATTGCTAACTGCAAACGTGGGCATTTATAAAGCCATTACCTATTTTTGGTGATTTTGTGAGGTAATTTTGTTTTCATTCACACATGGGTGTGTTAACAGCATATTAACAATGTAGCATATGAAACAAGACTTTCAACACTAGTTGAATAAAGCTTACTGATATCTAAATGCATCCTGTGCTATCAAAACCGAACGACGGAGGTTGCCAAAATAGTTACGCAAGATCGAGTATACAATGACTTCAGGCTACACTGAATGATATTTTCACTTTTATAAAATGTGGTTTACAACCTCTAGATAGATTCGACAAGTTTTAGTGAGAGTGTCTGAGGAAGCTTCGTTTGTTAAGTTTAGTGTTAGATTTTGATTTTTGGGATAGTGCACTGATAGTGTCATGTATTTTTTTTCTTCTGCTTATTCGGGCCAATAAAACAAGTACTATGGAAAAACCTGATTCTTTTTCTGATTATTACATTTCACCATCAACTTTATCTGTTGAAAAAATACACAAAAACACACACATTACTTTAAATGGGGCTCAGCTTAACAGTAAAATGTTCAAACAATATGTATTCAAAAACAACTATAGACTAGTGTGTCTACTAAAAGATCATGTGTAGGTAACAATAGACTTTTTATTTTGTCCATACGATATAGATCCTGTTGTATAGATCTATGGTATAGAACACCGGCTCTTCATCAGACAGTGAATATGACTGACGACTGTCTGATGAAGAGCCGGTGTGTTCGAAACGTTACATGCCTTGTATTAGCCTTCTTAATTTAATAAATGGTATTTTTAATGGCAATTTAATAAACGGCTTTTTTGGAGCTTCGGTGTTGCCGCCTTTTTGAAAATATATTTTTGCAGCTTTATCTGTTGAAAGCTAAAACTTTACATTTATTAGAGCTGATTTGACAAGATCTATTTCGTATGGACAAAATAAAAAGTATTGTTTACTACCTTTTATCGTTTTAGTAGACACATAAGTTTTTGATTATTTTTCATAATTCGAAATAATCACAATATGAGATGCCATTATGAGGATGCAGACAAAAACCTAATTTACATTATTGAAAAATGATCCTTGAATCCTGAAAGTGCAATACATTTTGCATTTTGTTTAGCATTTGTTTTTGTTGGACCTGTAACCATTTCGCTATTAAAAAGTTTATATATATATATATATATATATATATATATATATATATATATATATATATATATATATATATATTAATAATATTTATTTTATATTTCTACATTGTCAATCAAACATTTGCACTGAAGTTTAAATAATATTATACATATGCATGAATAATTTCTTGTGTATAGCTGAAAAAGTAAAAAAGAAAGTTGCTTACATGTGCTTAATATAAACTATTGATAGAATTTACATAAACTGTACAATATCATCATGATGCATATCATTATCAGTGTATGAGATTACTTATACTATGATAAGATTTTATTTGTTACCTTATCTCCTATAACATGTACTGTTATTGAATGGAGAAATGGCGGCTGTTCTGTCATCACAGAAAAACAAAACAGATAGTTTATTTGTGCATACATAACTTTTACTTAAGTAAAAGTTACACTTTCACAGTAAAAAAAAAACAGCATGAACAATCATCCAGTTAACATTTTAGCACATGGCTAGCACGGTTAACATGTTGCTAGCCCATTTCTAGTAGCCTATGTTTTTAACATGGATAACATTAATTCTGTTTCACATGCTGCTAGCTTGAATTATTGTTAACATTTTAAAGAATTAGTAACTTGTGGCTTCATGCTTTTAACAGGCTTTATAACACAGCTCTCTGGAATAACGTTACTTACTGTACATTCCAAGTTTTCCCAGATAACAACCGCTGAAAATAACGAACAGGTGCTACTCATCCGGGTACTACGATGAACTGGTCACACAGCTGTCCTTGATTGTTTAGCGCCATCTTGTGACTGAATTATTTCTAGGCTATTGAAGCGTAGGCTGCATTTTTTTTTCTTTCAGCCTTTCGTTTGATTAGTTAGTAATTTATCAATGACCAGATCAACGTTTTGTGTCTCACCAGATAACACTTTACTTATAGGGAGTGTTCATATTGAACACAATCATAAATTAAACCTTTATATTCATAGCACGTCAGGTGACAATGTTTGGGATGTCTTTCATGACAACTTGACATTATTTAAAAAAAAAATTAAAATTAATGAATCATGATTGCCAAGAGGAAATTATAATTGTGTCATGAACTAGCATTGACACTTTAAAATTAATTTTGTTCTACTGAAATAAGTGTTCAGAAAGGCATTTATGATCATGAAATCAATTTATAACGGTCAAAGACAGAATGTGCTACAGTATATGTTTATCAAGCTGTAAAAGATTAAGCAATGTCATCTTTGGGTTTAAAATGACAACTGAGTGAATGACACTTAATGGCAGTTTTAATAAGCATGCATAAAATCTTAAGATCCATGGTATAAGTCAAGTCAGGATTATGAAGTTTTCACCACAGACATATGAAGACCCCCTTCAGATAAAGCATTACCTCTGAAGGGATTTACTTGTGGCAAGTAGCTGTGCAATAGCTGTTAATTAACATACTGCTAGTATGTCAACTTATTGCTACAACCATATTTTATCACTTTTAACATTAACATGTTGCCAAAATTACTCTACCATCATTTGACGTAATGGGCTAGTTGCTGGGCTTTGCTAGTGCTAGAAAGGCAAATGTTTAAATTGGATTTAGGTTAAATACTCTGCACACTGATAAAGGATAAGAGTTTGCCATTACTAAATAGTTAGTATTTTAAATAAATGTGGATATGGAAATTAAACAGAACAAGATTTTTGATTTAATGACAGAACCAACCTTTTCTCAGTACTTTAAGTACTTTTTAAAAATTAATAAAAGCTATTCTAATAACAATTAAAGCCAGTGTCCTCATATGGGATTAAACAAAAACAACAAGACGACAAAATTATAAATCCAAAGTTAATTTTATTTACATTAAAAGAGTGTTTATTTACAAACACACAAAAGGAACAAAAAGTAAAAAGCAGGAAAAAGAAGAATCATGTAGTTGCAGGTTTCAAATGGTTTATACACATAGTGTTGTCTGAGGTTTGTGCTGGTGTGTGGATCTGCTCTCACTCGTTCTCTTTGTCGAGGGACATAATCAGAGCTCTTCTGTCCATCTGGCTGAACCTCTGTCTTTCTGGAGTCGACACTTTCAATTTCATCTGAAGAGAGACACCAACATTCATTTAGATGTTGGTCATTACAGAGCATGAAAGATGACAGTAAAATGATAACCAAGGTCTGTGTGTTTGCAGCTAGTAAGTACCTGCGAGTTGCGTTCTCTGGGTGAATTGGTCTCCCTCAGGATCTGCAGAGGAGATCTGCCCTCGCCAATCAGCACTTTTTCTGTAATATTAAACAAGAAACTCTAACATTTTCTTGAATATCACCACACAATACATGTTTGAAGATTTTTTTGTTTTGTTAAAATGTTTATTTTTGACCCATCTCCTATTTATCTTGCATTGTTCTAAATTAATCAGTTGTTTTACATGACATAAGACTTGCCATCGCCTTGCCACTGGTGACGTTATCATCTATGATGGACCTAAATCAGCTAAGGTACTAAACAAAGTCAGCTAAATATTATTGTTTAACATGATCGATTAACCAATACCAAAGTTAATTTAAACATGGCAGCAATTTCAGTTTCATGAGAAGTAAAATAGGTTAAGCTTGAGTCAACACCTGCAGTAATTTTTTTTATTTTTAACTAATTCACTCTTTTTTTCCTTCTCTGAATCTAGTAGTATTGGAAGGACTTGTAGTAAAGTGCTGCGCTTACACCTGTGATTTAATTCTTTTGGTCTGATCCATAGACAACATAACACATTGCAGCATTGTTTCAGCAATTTTTTTTTTTCACACCACAGTGAATATTTAAATTAATAGTAACAAAATAATAATAAAATATCAAGATTGTACACTATTCACTTCTGAAACTAACAAATTTTATGGTGTGAACACACCCTTAATTAAATTTATGCCTCTATGGTTTTATGGACAGATACCAGTGGGCTTTTATTTTCTTAGATTATATCGGAATTAAAACGTAAGACCAATTAAAGGGATAGTTAAAAACCTATAATCAAAATTCACACACATTTTCATCTACACATGATCTCTTATAACAAAATCACATGACCTTTTTTAATGCCCATACTGAAATGTGTGCGGTAAAAGTGTTTCCATCGTAGTTTATGCGCATCTTTTCTTATCGAATAAAAAGTTTATCCTATTCAGTTATGCGCATACTATCAAAATGTATGCGCATCATGGTGTTTCCATGGTGTTTTTAAGCAAAATGCACATACAAATAGGTGGATGAAAATATAGCTACTGACTTCCATATTGTTAGTTTTACCTACTTTAAAAGTCAAGGGTTTCAAACTTTTGAATGGTTACAAACTGTCTTGTCATGTCAACAGAAGAAACACAAACAGCTTTGGAACCAGGGTGAGTAAATGACAATTACAGAAGCACAATCACCAGATTACAGCATGTCATTTTCTAAAGCAACAAGATAAATTTACAAAAATAACTAAGCCCTGACCAGTGGCAAAGGATACAGAAAAATAAGATCTATCTGAAAGAAGAAACATCTCTGTATATACAAATGCTGTTATGTAGTGTACAGACACACTCACCTCTCGGCTTCTGTTTGGTGCGCACAACCATGTTATTATTCTCATTAGTAGCAGTGTTTTTGATGTTGCGTGGTGAGGACACTGCCGTCTTCCCCCGGCTCTGAACCCCTCTCGCTCGGACACCAGAGGCCCCAAAGCCCACACCCAACCACTGGGGCTTGAAAATGGCCTGACTGGGGCTGCGGGTGTCAAACCTCAGACAGCGGATGCCAGGCTGCACCGACTCCACCTGAGTGCTGGACACTGGGCTGGGTTTGCTGGAGGCATCAGCTGGTTGAGGTGTTGGCGGTTTGTTTTCCTCTGGCTGCTCAGGAATCGGCTCTGGAAGTGCAGCAGATGCCTGACAGTGGAGAGACACACGTCACACTCAGTCTTAACCCAAAATATACTTCAGCCATCAGCAATGTTGATCATCAGGAGAGACTTTAGATGTTATTCTGTCTGCATTCAACGGTGTGAGGTCAAAACCAAATTAAAATGAGTCCAGACGGTGGTAGAATGGTGACGGTGGAGTCAGAATTTGCATCTGCATCGGAGTAATATGGTGTAGTGACAGCTGTGCTTAAGAAGGTCAGTGAGAAACAAACCAGATCTAACAGTCATTTTTTAGTGATTTTTTTGCTTTTGAAATTTTCACTGGTTCCAACACAAATAACATTCAGTTTAAATCTATGAATGTAACTAATTGAAATAAAGCTAACGAATAAAGT